CCTGGTTACCTTTGGAGAATGAAGTTGACATAAATTCATGAGATCTTGTATTTTGATTTCATGCTTTAGTAGACTTAAAAATAATCCACTTTTATATGTTGCGTTTTCGAGTTGGTTTATCATTTATCTGTTACCCATTGTCCACAGGCGTTTGAGTTAAATTGGTAGACATTTTGCTGATTTGGCGTTCTTTCCGTGACAAAGGAAGTCACACGTTTCAAACAAAAGCACCTGAATGTTGGAACTTGAAAGACCGCCTTTTGGCAGCATATGATATTAATATTTTATGGTCAAATATAAGTGCCTTGAAACGAACCATAAAATGAGAGTAAACCGTTGACATAAGGCCATTAGTATTGGCTAGGTCAAGGCGCCCTCTGGGCACATTGTAACGCAGTACTTCGTTGCACAATCAGGACAAGGCGGAAAATGCCAGTCTCCAGGTTAGACTACTATTATAGAAAATCTTAGTTAACATTACTATGCCACAGAATGTGACGGATGAGGTCTTTGACCTGCCATCACGGTCGTAAGCATTAATTTCCAACAGGGTAATCTAAAACACAACATTTCTCCAACTTTGGTTCTAAGGCTTCGTGGTTGTCCTCATATTGGCTTTCCAGTTAGCGCAGTAAATGAACAGGCTATGGAAGTAAATCTCAAAGAGTAAGCGTGATATTATAAAAGGGATGTTTTTGATTTAGGCTACTTCTTGTATGATGAGACTACGATGTTCGACGTCTGTCCATCCACTGAGGAAGTCGAACTTACTTGGCGGCTGGGCGATTCAACAGCAAACGAGACTCTGGTGAGTTCAAATTTCACTTTTTCCAAATGCGTACCTCATCTTTGGTAAATGTTAACTTCGTGTACGCACTTTGAAAGGGATTGGCAGTTTTGGAGACGAACTCGGTGGCATCTTTTTAACATGGCCTTCATAGTCTTGCCATGAACATGAGAACCGAGCGGTCCCAATTGTAGCCTAACAAAGCTAGATTAGAAACCAGGTTGTGTGTGGCACTCGTAGACGGGTAACATAGCCTTGTTAGTTATTGCGCTAAGGTGGTCTTGATTTTGCTTTGTCATCAGAGTCGGGAGCGATAGTGTGTGACGGAGGCTGCGCAAGTAAACGGGGCTGCGCTCACTCCGCGGAGCACAGGAAAGATGATTTTGTTCGCAATGACCAAACTCATGCCATTGTCACAAAAGTGACATCCAGGACTCGCAATGTAAATAAATACAGGAATGCAGTCACGAGGCGTTTTCGTGGGAGGCAAAATCTCTGGGGAATTTATGTCTGGTAGCCCTCTGGCTTCGGCAAAACTTATCTGGTATCATCCGCAGAAATCAACTTGGAAATTAGTACAAATTCTGTTACGATATTTAGCGCCATCAGGATTCATCTGGTTAATCAATAATTTACTTTGACGCTGTCGACCAACCCTGGCTTAATGTTTAGTGAATAATGTGGTGCGATTAATGGCGAATGAGTCAGTTTTTAATAACATTCTGCAGAATGCCGTGAAGCAAATGTTCAGCCTGCCGGCTGATGAAAAAACGCCAGTATAACTTTATTGCAAAGCACGTTTGCATAAAAAGAAGACTTGCCTCGTCTGAATAGTATAGGTGATCACATTTGTAATTGGTGAGTGTCAAGAGTAAGCACTAAAATCGTTTATGAAAGTTCGCAGATTTTATTACGATCCGTGGTTAACATTATTTTCGGTATGGACGTAGTAATAAGTGATGTTCGTATTATAGGTGTTGTGCGCCAACTACGACCTTAGCTACAACAATCTGGAGTGTGCCGCAAGGCCCACTGAAGTAGGGATGTGATGCCTATTTCCGTTTCCTGCCATTTTTTTATTATTCAGTCATTTGCCAATCTTGACGCTTGTCCTGCCTGAAGGAAATGATCAACCTACTGATTGCCTAATTGAAAAGAAAACTTTCTTTGATTATCCAAGCCAGTGTGACTTTATTTGCAAACACGCCTATATGAGAAAGAAGACTTACCTCGTCAAAATATTATGGAAGTCGCATTTATGTTTGATAAAGGCCAATATTAAGCGTTGAAATCGTTTATAAGAGCTCACAGATTTAAGCCTTATTAGTTCTTATCGGTAATATGTACAAGCCGTATTACAGGTTTTTGTTCGTTACTTATAACTATTGCTGTAACTCTCGTGACCCTAATTCTAATCCTCTTGAATGTGGCACAAGGGCCCCGTAGTACGGTGGGGATGCCTATTTTCGTTTTCAACCTAGGAGAGCAATTACCGATAATACTCAGGTAAATAACTGTCAGAGAATTGCACGAAAGGGGGAGCATATCCAGTGTGGTTGTAGATCAATATAAAAAAGCCTCGTTACACGCAAATGAAAGGTTATATTATAGTGCCTATTAAAAAATACAAATTTTTATTTTCGGACATAAAAAGAGGTAAAAAGCAGTTTCATTCTACCATACGAACGCGTTAGGGAACGTTGTTTGACAAGTCAAACTTCTTGGACCTCAAACAGAAAACTTATAAAACACAATTTGTACAGAGACACGCCATTTTGTAGATTGCGTTTTAGGACAGGCCACTTGCCTAAGCCAAACTGGGTAAAAATTATTACTTATATGCTATTTCATTTTCGTTTTGATTTTCGACGCCACTACAATTTCAATATAGTATAAAGAAAAGATGCAAACATTTATTTAATACTCAAATTGGGGAAAATTACGTGAATCTTTAAGAATTCATACTTATGGAAAGGACGAAATTCAGTTTTAAAAGCTTTTCTTATTTCCCGAACTATGCTAAACCATGTACATATGTGCATTTAAGCCAAAGGTTTCAAAACGTAATGTTGCTTATTTTCCGTGTGAAAGAATCGTATAATTCTCTATGTGATTAAAAGGATAATATGTTAGATGGTAGTTGGTAGCCCTCTCGTTACCGAAAACTCCCAGCTACCTGACTTACGGGACCGGTGGTAATAGGGGCTAAACGGGTGGGGCAAATGAGTGGAGGCGTAAATGGCGCTCGTAGGGAATGCCTGGAATTGACGATCCTGATAAATTGGAAACCTAATTTAAATAAGGTGAAAAATGCGAGGAAGGTGAACACTTCGGGTCTGACTGACGTATGAGACGCCTTGCTGTTGTAGTCTGAACCCAAGAGGTAGTAAGTGCGCAATGTGGTAGGTGAAGTGCGCCCAGTTCAAACCCAGCAATGTCGAAGCGCCTGGGAGGGGGGTGCCGTAGTGCCTTAAACTGGAAGTGCAGGAAAGGATCGCTAACTGGCCATGGCGATGTTAACAAGGCGTCACAGTTTTCAGCCAAACCCCTGCGACCAAATACAACCGGGTTGTTCGTAAAGGCGGGGGGTGGAGGGCAACACTCCGTCAATACGACTGACACAATGGATGGAGTATCGGTAGACACCCTAACTGAGCGTCGGTTGTCCATTCGTACACGATTTCACCGGACTCTACTGGAGGTCTGGAGTAAAAAGACCGAAGGATGCAGGCAAACCGACGAAACGGAGACCCGCACCAATCCGCCTTTGATAGTACCTATGCAATTAATCTGATGCAGGTAATACTGTGCGCACATGCAACTAGAAGCATAATGGGAAGCATGATGAATCCTAATCCGTTTAGGATAAATCTTTCGCCTTTTACTAAAGATTGCCGTGTGGGGGTGCAATACAATAAGTCTATAAAGACAGTCTTGCAGCGCCTCGTTCTCGGGGCGGTTAAATTGCAGAAGAAAGTCATCCTGACAGGACCTCTGTGCGTGCACCCCCCCCCCCCCAGACATAATGAGAAAGTTAGCACACATACCGAAATCGAGCCTGTAGGTACAATAGTAGAATCAGAGGACAAGCCAACCAACTACCATCCTGCCGGATAATATGTGGGAACATACATATTTGTAACTGTTGCGGATGATCATGCATATTTTATAAGAAACATTATTGAAACAGAGTTAGGATGCCGAAACAAACGATGATGCGAGATCCAGGAACTAGTTAAACAGAACAAGAAGCGATCCTTGGAACAAAGGCTTATTTGCCTAACGTTTTGGTTTCCCATTATCAAAGACAGTGGCAGAAAATGGTGATTCGTGCACAAGAGGTTGCAGTATTTATAGGACGCAGTCGTTATGCTACCTCATACCTATAGTAATTAACTGCTCTTCCCTTAATCAAGAATTATTGCCCACCTTGGTGCTAATTGCATGGTGGTCGGCATACAAGACGTTAATTGTTAAAATCTCTTCACCCCTGTTGGATGCTGGCGTGATGTCTACTCGGCCGCCTGGCTCACCGGCTTGCGAGCTTCGCGAGTGGCCAATTAATTTGGCCAGACTGTACCTCAGCACGGAATATGGAGAGGGCATGTTGTTATACTTATGGATAGACTGAGGTCCCAGGAATCATGACTCAAACAACTCGCGCCTCACGCGATTATTCCCTCTCGCGAGAATTTTGGCCTCACCGAACTTGAATGTGTGGCCGGGTCTCGTCGAATGGGCTGCGACCTGACAGCTGTCGTCATTTCTCCACTCCGCGGCCGCGTTTTCGGCAATTCGCGTTAGCAGCAGTCTTCCAGTTTCTCCGACGTAGCTGCTTTGTTCGCAACTGCATCAGATCCGGTAAAGGATACCAGATGTTGCATGCCGTGTCAGTGTGTCTTCTGGTCTCATCACCGGAAGCCTTATGGTGGCCTCCGGTCTGTGTTCAACTCCAACCCCAAGTGGTGTGAGAAGGTGACTAACGTCCTCCGAGACGCTCTTGATGTATGGGATTGCTCGTCAAAATTCGGAGTCGGTACGGTTTTTGTCGCTCGTCTCGTTTGCTCATGCACCGGTTGACGAAGGTGCGTGGGTAACCATTTTCTCTGAAAACTCGTCGACGATATTTGGATTCGGCAACCTTGTCTTGCGGTTCACTGCATTGCGTCTCAACACGCCGATATACAGTGCGTGACCTATCTCATGAAATGTTGGCTGAAATTCTGAAATGCGTTTACGATTAGGAATCATTACTTGGTCGCCGTTGTGATACTGATTATCTCAAGGCATACTCTTATAACATTTTAGACTCGCCAGTATATCGGCTTTTGAATGCACTTCTTTTCAATCTCCTGTAGATAGAGTGCTCGGTAAAAAAAATGATTACTCATGTAGCATGCATTTTTCCTATTGATTTTTGATGGTTTTGAAAATTTGAATATATCTTATGGAAACCTTAAACAAAAATGGGCTTTCTTTTAGTCATTCAATAGAGAATCACGTCTTCTTTATATTTTATAATTAAGGAAGGAGTATAATTAGTTTTTAAAAAAATATTTCTAATTGCCGAAACATTTGGAGCCTGATCATTCGTTGCATTAGCGCTTAGTGATTACACTCTACAAGGTGCATGCGTTCCGCGTAAAGAAAATCCCATATTGTTCTATGTCATTAAAGAGATATCATACAGAGTCCATAAAATTTTGCAATGGATGCGGACCAACATTTTATGAGGAGCGGTGGTAAACGGCCAGGTACGATGCTATGTGAATGGACATATCGCAGTCTTAAAAAGTCTCATAGTTAGAAACTTTTGTAAAACCTAATTATACTCGTTCATCAAGTATAAAATATAAAGAAGACGTGATTTTCTATTGACTGACTAAAAGAAAGCACATTTTTGTTTGTGGTTTCTATAAGATATATTCAAATTTTCAAAACCTTCGAAAATCTATGGGGAAAATGCATGCTACATGAGTAGTCATTTTTTTACCGAGCAGTCTTTCTACAAAAGATTGAAAAGAAGTGCATTTTAAAGCCGACATCCTGCCGAGCCTAAAATGTTATAAGAGTATGCCTTAAGGTAATCAGTACCACAACGGCGACCAAGTAATCCTTCCTAATCGAAAACGCATTTTAGAATTTCAGCCAACATTTCATGAGATAGGTCACTCACTGTAGCATTCTTACGCAACTGCGTTTGGGGCTGATTGGGTGATTGCTGTTGAAGTTCAAGAAAATCTGCGTTAAACCTTTGCAGACCACACTCTATCACTACACATTTCCAAACTAGCATATGGACAACAGGTAAGCCCACTTCTGTGTGCGAAATGTGCGTTGTGTGGTGCCAGTCTCATGTGGCACGCGCAGTGAGCCGTATTTCTCCCCGCCCCAAATGCTTCCTCGGCTCGGATAACTAAACTAATGCCTTAGGACGTAAAGAGAGAGTTGAGTCGACTCTGGGGAGTGCATCCCGCTCAATGCACCTCATTCCCCACTATAATGAATAGTACGTGATTGAATTCGTCACAACGAACCAAAAATCATGTCGAAACAAGCCAAGATGCAAGTTACAAGAACTAATTAATCAGAAAAAGACGAAGAAGAAGAAGACGAAGAAGAAGAAGAAGAAGAAGAAGAAGAAGAAGAACAAGAAGAACAAGAACAAGAAGAAGAGATCGCTGGGACAAGGGCTTTATTCGCCTGACATTTCGGATTCTCACTTGGACCTATGATCAGAGACAGTGGCAGAAAAGGGTGACTCGTGTACAGGAAGATGCGGTATTTATAGGATGCAGTCGGTGCATGCTTAAACGAGACTAGCGACAAATACCGTACCGACTCCGAATTTTGACGAGCAATCCCATACATCAAGAGCGTCTCGGAGGACGTTAGTCACCTTCTCACACCACTTGGGGTTGGAGTTGAACACAGACCGGAGGCCACCATAAGGCTTCCGGTGATGAGACCAGAAGACACACTGCCACGGCATGCAACATCTGGCATCCTTTACCGGATCTGATGCAGTTGCGAACAAAGCTGCTACGTCGGAGAAACTGGAAGACTGCTCCAAACGCGAATTGCCGAAAACGCGGTCGCGGAGTGGCGAAATGACGCCAGCTATCAGGTCGCAGCCCATTCGACGAGACCCGTTCACACATTCAAGTTCGGTGAGGCCAAAATTCTCGCGAGAGGGAATAATCGCGTGAGGCGCGAGTTGCTTGAGTCATGATTCATGGGATCTCAATCTATCAACAAGTATAACAACATGCCCTCTCCACATTCCGTGCTGAGGCACAGTCTGGCCAAATTAATTGGCCACTCGCGGAGCTTGCCGGCCGGTACGCCAGGCGGCCGAGTAGTCATCACGCCAGCATCCAACAGGGGTGATGAGATTTCAGCAATTAACATCTTGTATGCCGACCACCATGCAATTAGCACCAAGGTGGGCAATAGTTCTTGATTAAGGGGAGAGCAGTTAATGACTATAGGTATGAGGTAGCATAACGACTGCGTCCTATAAATACTGCAACCTCTTGTGCACGAATCACCATTTTCTGCCACTGTCTTTGATAATGGGAAACCGAAACGTCAGGCGAATAAAGCCCTTGTTTTGACGATCGCTTCTTCTTATTACTTAAGATGCTTTATAATCGAACATTTTACTGCATTAAAAACCGCATAGATAAAATCAATTTTTAAGCCAAAATTACCTTTTCTTGAGTAAAACAATTGACGAAGACATAACATTTTGCTAAATGACTAAGTAAAGATATATTTTATAAGTTTTTTTATAACTTATCTTTACAATATGTGGTTACCAAAGAATAACAATCAGATTTTATAAGGGTTAATTAACTAGGCAGAATGGTATTACCGACAAAGACAAGGGAGACTGGAATGGCCATTTCTGGCTTATTAGCCGTCGTCAGCCAGCCATACCCAAGCCTGAAGTGTGGTACACCCGAGCCTCGAACTCGCGACCTGTTGGTTTAGAAGTCAACGCCTCTACTCACCGGGCCACGAGCCCGTTGCCTTGTCTTTTAATTAACTCTTTTTACCGTGTATAGATTATGCAGACGGCCATAAAATAGCTCAATCAAGGTTTGCATCCCTAAGCGTCTGCAATATTCCGGGGTTACACAACCTGGCAAAAAGTATAGGAAATATTTGAAGACCACTTTTAAAATATATGTCGACATTTGATGAGACAACCTAAGGTAAATAGTCCCCATTTAATGAGGAAGGTAAAGCTAAAGGCCGCGCTGAACTTACTAACTTCCTAAAAACCGACCTTGAATTCCTAGCTAGATAGGTTTAGACCAAGTTCAGAGCCAAAAGTTGTAAGATGAAGTGAATTAACGTAACCTCTAATACCTATATTTGAGCCCACAATGGAGAAGGCTTTGTTTCTAAAAAAAACATATCTTTGAATGTTTTTCTATTTTGCAGGGTGTAAGTATTGCTATTACTGTGTGTTCACCGAAACAAACTCCCTCGGGCGCTTAAATTTTTGCAGAGGGAAAAACTGATTTTAATAAATGGGTATTATAAATTTCGATCTGAAAGCTCCCAGATGGGCAGGTCTGCAGATAACAATCCCAATCTCTCGAAAACATTTGAATCATTGAATATTTTGAGATCCCATAACCTTTCATTCAAGTGCAAGCCTGTGTCTTTGCAAATAACAGCAGGCCAGTTAGAAATTTATGGGTTCTTTGAAAAATGCTTTGTAACCTGCGAACGGAGATTTGTTCATTTGGAAATTACTAGGCTCTCATGTGGAAGTCATTTGGATCCTCCATAATGATTTCAACCCTAGTCTTGTGAGTTTCTAAGTGGACTCCACTGCACATGAGGCCTGAAATGGAGCATTTAATCAAACTTAATTCGTATGCCCCGACAACATCATGTGAAAATCATTTTCCGTCAGAATTTTCATTCAAAAAGTTCCCTGATAAACTTTTAACGGCATTCCAAATTCTGAAATTTGCTTTTAAAATATTAGGTTGAATGCTGGCATAACCAAATGAAAGTTTGTTCTACTCCTCAACCCTCTCCGGACGAACGACCCTGTGGCAAGTTTTATTATCTCTACTTTTTAATGGCAGGCTCTCTCTCTCCTAAGCTATGTTAGTGGCCTCCGGGAGAAGGACCATCCCGGCATCCCCCTTTGCATTTTAAGACGAGCGCTGTTATAAGAAATCTAAAACGATGATTTATTTGACACTTCTGCAGATGTCACAGAATTCAGTAACTACACCGAGGTGAAGCTGGTTGCCAAGCGAGCTGTTAGCAGGATGGATAACTACTACTGCACAATCGATGGAGCACAGGCATCTTCAAAAGCCGTCTATTGGCAGGGTTAGTTGGACGCTTTTGTAAACTTCGTATAAATATATTAACTGGATTTTGATCTCTTTCGGGATCACTGGCATCTGAGAAACAACCTAAGACCGGCTAGTTTGGAAATTGACGAAAATATATGCCATGAGGTAGTTTAATGAAAATACAGTAGATATGCTAACTCGTGGAACGCTAGGCGTAATTCTGAAATGCATATTCAAGCAGGATTGTTCTACTAATCACCAGGCAGCATAATCCTAAAATAATTCAGTTACGTCATAATGGCTGATTTCGATCGAACATCTTTTTGGCCGCCTGCAAAACTACGCTCCGTAAAAAAGACTACTTATTTGGCTTGGATTTTTTCCATTGTTTTCCGATGTCCTTATATAAAAATATTCATCCGTAAACATATTTGGTAAAAAATAGCATTTTTGAAAAGTTTTTTTCCGAAGAAAGAGAGTAACTTGATTTAAAAACTATTCTAATTTTCAAATAATTTTGAAAATGACATGCCGTCACACTTGCATTCATGGTTTCCAAATTACAAGCTTTACATTTTGTGTATGTAACGCAAATCATGATATCTCTATGGCATTCAAAGGCGATCTTTTAGATATTAGTAATATTTGTCCGTGAATTTGGGCATATTGTTGACCTAACAAGCAATATTAACAAATGCTTGGGGCACTGTGTTTTGTAAAATGGGCATTTCACGATCATAAAAACCTCATAATGGGAAACTTTTTGAGACCGACATTTATCCCTCCTTCAAGTAGGAAATTCGAAGAAAATGTAATTTTCCATCAAATGAGTAAAAAACTAATATTTTCACTCATTTTCGATTAAATATACTTGAATTTATAAGGACATCGAAGGTTAGTGAGAAATTTCATCCTACTTACGTGGTCAGTTTAACGAGTTCGATCCTTGCCGGTAGTCTAAAAGGCGTTCGTTCAGTAGCAAGCCTTCCAAAGTAACTGAAATATTTTAAGATTCTTTTACAAGATTAATTACATAACAACCATACTGAAATAATCGATTTGGGCCAAAAACGCATTTCGGAAACTCGATTAACACTTTATGAATAAGCACCTCGTCTGTTAGGGATGCCCGAAGCGCCTGACTGCCGATCCTTACAAGTGCATGAACAAGACCTTTGGGAGGAACTTCACAATGGTTTGTTTGTGATTGATTTAGGATAAAACAATGCAGCGAACAGTCATTGCCTTTTTTTAGTCCTGGCGAATTCAAGACAGAGTTAGCAAATAACCTTCGACGATGAGGCTTCAAAGATACCGCGTAAACGGCCGTAGACGTTTAATTATTGATCAACACCTCACGCTGGTAATATAAAACAGTTATATAGGCAGGAGGAATGAAATGGTCATTTATGATTCATTAACCGTTACGCCTAAAAGCTCGCTGGACTTTGGATGAGCAAATGGGATTCAGGCTCGGGTCCGTTGGCTGATGAGCAGTCCCCGATTAAGTCCTCCATCGTTGGGCTACGCGCCAGCGTCCCGCTGGCGGGGACTGTAAACATTCACAGTCGTGTGCAACTGGTGTCAACTGTTCTTTTTTGGCTGCAGGATCCGATTGGTGTTTCTGTTTACAATTAAGGCTCGCTCGGGCTGCAACTTACGAGTGCGATCTCAATCAAGGAGTTTGAAAAAAAAACACGGAAAACGCAAGCGACAAGTTTCGGCTTGATCATCACCATTTACATAAATAATAGAAGGACAATTCAATTTCGAACACGAGTCAGTGGCCTATGAGACAGATTTTGGTGGACATTTTGCCAACTGAGTTACGTAACAACGTTCACAGATTAGTAGTCAATACCGATTTACCAGTTTGCTTTGTCTGTGTCGGCGAAAAATAACGATGTCTGAAGATTCTGAGAGACGATGCTTTAGCAGTTTTCAGCAGATTTAAACTACATAACGGTTAAAGGAATTTATTTTTTTGGACCTCATTCAAAATAAACCTTATTTTTAAATATTTTTGTTTAACAATATAGGACCGCTGCACTATAAACCGGTGGATAAACGTGAAAATTTTGAAGGCAGTGAATTTGTTATTGCATCATTTGATGACAAACGCGAGCAGGACCTTATAGGTGCGTTTACGGTTTACGAGGTTCCATCTCAACTTTTTGTTTGTTAAATGCTGTAGACTGTGCCAATCGCATGTACGCAATCTGTCTCTCTGTAGGTTTTAATGTTTCACAACAGATTGACTAGTGACATGCATCAGCACGCGATCGACAGAATACTGACAGCTAAGTGGGATCCTTCAAACTACCGTTGCCGAAACGTCTTACGTCGAAGCTGAAAGTAAACCATAATTGAACGATGATTCAGCTGTCGTTGCCGACATCGTTCACCGCGTGTCGCATAGTGTCTTTGGTTTAGCCGTCCTTAGACATGCATATGCCAGCGAGCAATTGTATGGTGAGCCGTTATTACATGCAGTCCACCTTACTCGCTTGTACTGTCTGTACGCCAGTCATATGTCAACAATTTCCACGTCGGACAATCAACACCCTCATAAACTTAGCGGATCCAGCTACAACGTCATGCCCAATAATCCTATCATGCTGTCTGCAAGAAAGCAACGATCACAAAATGCCGCGCAGAAAATATGTATACGCACAAATTGCCATTTGGTAGCTTGGTTTGACCTTAAATTTCAGACAACCGTCTTAATTTGCTAACTTGGACAAAGATCATTTTGTTTTTATGTCTACTCATTAAAGACAATTCCGATTCCGGATGGGCGCTGTAGCGTAGAGCAAAAGAATCAAATTTTACACTTTTATTTTTGGCCGTAAATTGTAAGATTGGCGTCCTCCGTAAAATAGGTAATATATATTTTTAAGAGTTTTCCTGGTTTATCTAACGCAATTTTGAAAACGCACCTAGAAACCGTTCGTGACGGCGATGCTGAACTGCAGTTTTTGAAGCGCGATGGAGATTCCTTAAAGAAACTCGAGGATCCACACATCAGCAATGTATATGGTAAGCTGTGTCAATGGCAGGATGAGGAATGCGTTGTTTACCAAGCCGAGGTTTCGGCTCGTAGATAAAAGAAACCAAATCACATGCAAAAGCATTTATAATTAGAAACCTTTTTAGGTAGGGGTAAGGATAATAAGCGGGGTAAGGAAAAACCGCGGAGTACTGCCTACAATATTTTCAGAAATATATGCTGTTTTATAGAGTTTTTGGCCAGCCCCGAAAATCAACGGTGCACCCCCGGCACGCATTTATTTAGCAAGAGGGAAGCTCATGTTTTTATACGTACGGAAGGGAGAGAATCCAGATAGTAAAAAATACTCAAACATTCGTCTTCCAGTAGTTCAGGAGTTTTAAAATGCTGGTGAATTTGTTAAATAACAGTTAACATTTTCCAACCCACGACATAATCTTTATTCTCACCCTTTTTAAAAATGACTGTTAACATCCCTTCGAGTATACCATTTAATGCAAACGTAGTCTGCTACTAAATGACAACAAGAAGGACTACATTTGTGTTTGTATTTTTATAAAATATATTAAAAAGATCAAAGACGTCGAAAAACGATGCAGAAAATTTCATAATTAACAAAAAGTTGCTTTGAAAAATTACGACATTTCAGGCGGCCGATACAAAATTGTTACAAAAGATAAAACCCCTAGAGTGGTAGCAGGATGATCCATAATACAAAATACTACCCAAATAATTTTTTATAATCACAACCACGCTTCAGAATTTCCGTCATGACTTCATGAAACCACTCGGTCGAGCTCATGAAATGCGAACCAATACGAGATGTTTGCAGAGACTGCATTTAGTAAAAATGACCAATTCCGCGTAATACACTTTTTATTGATTTTCAATGTTCCAATAAAATCAAATACATTTTATGGCAGACATGGGCATAAGTATTCTTATATGTACTCATCCAGCAAAAAACCACTTCTTCGTGAAACTACTTTTCTAAAGGAATTTGAAGATTTTTTCACATTCTTCTGGCATAAAACTCTTTAAAACTAATTTCCAACCCACTGAGCACAAAAACCATTTTTATTCATGTTTTCCTTAAATACGGTCCCTTTCTCGGTTCAGAGAAAATAAATAGAAAATGCATACTGCGAAAAACATTGTATTCTCCGAGTAAAAGCTATTTTCTCTTGCAGTGTTATATAAAACGATTTTTAAGAATTTTTCCAATTCCCGAATATCTCCTATAAAATTCATTTGATTTTATCAGAGTGTTTTAAATAATCAAAAAATGTTTTCTGCTTGAGTAATACTTTTCGTTAATTGACTTACTTGGAATCGGCCAAAAGAAAACTCATATAAAAGCTAACATTTTGACGAGTCTGATGCATTATCAGATTATGTCGTATGACAGTCAGCGTTATAAGCCCGCCTAGATACTCCTTTATTACTGAAAACACATTTCAGGTTTGACGTTAACATATCATGAAATTGGTCAATAACTATAAGCTCATGAGCGGGATTAAATGGTAGCAAATTTCTAAATTGTACGACCTTGAGGTTTACTCAGTCACTTGCCAGCTCCTCTAAGGCGAGTCCGACTGTTCCAGTTGGTGGCTGTTTTTTTTCAAACCGTAGGAGAACGCATGCCAGAACGACGAGGGAAGCGTAAATGAGAATAGATAAGCCGCTATGAATATAAAAGCACATTGTGAAGGTCAGTTTAGCCTGTTTCCTTAGTGCTCAGAGAGAATTCCACCAAGTCACGAGCAGCCGGGTTTGCGTAGCGCAAGGCGGCCTCGCCCATGACCCCCAGAAGACAACGGGTAGGTTTACCGAGTGAACTGCCAATTCGACCGCCTTATCCGTCAATGTCCATTGTGTTATTCACAGCAAGGCGTAGCAGACAAGGGGACTTGCGCGTGATTTGTTTCATAGTGAGTGTAGTCTTCCGCAGCGCCTACTACATTCTCTCCTCCTCCTTTATCCGCGCCCGGTGTTAAGATAGGGTTAAGAGGACCGGAGGCGGGAGAGG